GTCCCTGAAACAGAGGGGGAGAGGGAACACCGGCGGCCCTCAGCGCTTAAGGGGAGGGGCCCAGGAGGCCTGACCAAGGGGCAGGACTCCAGGGCCAGAGGGAGGAGCGGCTGGGGGCTGCTCCCCGCCCCCGTCCCAGGAGGAGGGGCTGGGGGCTGGACCTCAGGTCTGAACGGGGAGGAGCAGGGAGCCTGGACTCCTGAGTCTGAGGGAAGACAGACTGGGGGCTGGCCCCTGGGTCTAAGGGAGGAGGGGCTGGGGGCTGGCCCTTCTGGGCTTAAGAGATGAGGGGCTGGGGGCTCGAACCCATGTCTCGGGGGAGGGGCTGGCCCCAGAAAGCCTAGAAGAACTGATTCCAAAGTCCCTAGGACTTTTCCTTGGCCTCACCCCAGCTACCCCACCTTTGTCCCAGCCCCATCTCCGGATCTGGAAAGGACCCAGGTGCCTTGGGGCCCAGCCGGAAGGGGCCAGGGACAAAGGGTTGTTTAACTGGGCCGGGTGGTGGAGGGGAGCGAAGAAGAGTGTGTCTTAGGCGGAAAGGTTACTTGTTGCCTGGGGCTTGTGCAGGGAAGCGGGGGTGGCTGAGGCCCCTCAGGGAAGAAATCCTGAAAGTCAGAGGCCTCTCGTGGCGGGTCCTCCACTGTGGTCCCTTCGAGGGACCAAGGCGTTTGGAGGCTCCAGGGCAGAGGGATACTGCCACTTAGTGGTGACTTTGGGAACTGCAGGCACTCCGCCTGCCCAGCCGTTTGTCAGCATCTGTTAACAGTGTTCCCCGAACATGGCCAGGGACAAAAAAGTCAAAGGCTGGAACTCATGGAGCTCTCAGGCTAAAGGAGGGAGACTCTTTGGTTCCGTCAATCGCAGTCTTCGTCTTCGCTGTCTCTGAATCTGCTCCTCGCCGACTCTTACTCTACCTCACTGGCCTTGCTTCTGTTTCCCTCTCCTGGTCTTGGTCTGACCAAGAGCATCCATTTCTCTCATTTTTTGCTTCCTTTCCGTTTTTATTTTCCCCTTTGTATTTCTTCGTTCCCCACCAATTAAAAATTATGTATACTGGGACCAGCAGGTGGTTAAGGCATAGGATTCCCACATGGCCGACCCTGGGGATGATTTCTCACAGGAAGGGAAACTTTCTGTCTCTCTCCAAATCACATATGCCCTATGGCAAAAATATAAGAAAACTATGTATATTAGTATGGTTTTTTTTTGGAGTGGTTTTTGTTATAGGGCGTGTGCACTCGCCAGAAAGACAGAGAGAGACAAAGAGACAGAAAGCAAGAAATCCCCCCCCACACACACGAGGGAGGGGATGGCCACGCCGCAATCCCTTCTCCATTCTCCTCTTCGGACCTTGGGCACGCACGCATACGCGTCTGGCGTGAGTTTAAGCCACCAGGTCCAGGACTCGAACCGCAGCCGACTACATGGGAGTCCAGCGGCATAGCCATTACGCCAACTGCGGGTCCCTGTATATCATTATGTTAACACATAATCTGAGGTATAAATCTCACAATCTGAGTGTCTGGAAACCTTGGTGTAAGCACTCATGTGGCCACTGACCGTCATTTATGTGTGGAATACACACCCACAGCCTGGTTGAGGGAGAGGCCTGCGTCCAAGCCTAGCTGCCATCCTTGCCACGTACCTGTGAGATCTGTCCAGTGGGGATGACCATACCTTTGTCACAGGGTCGCTTGGAAGTGAGATAAAGTAGACTCTCCAGAGCCCTCAACACACACCGAGTTTAGTTAAGCATTTGTGGCTCATCGTCTCCCCAATCGGCTGCCGGCGATTCCTTCCCTCTCTGCACTGGCACACTGCTCTCACCAAGAGCTAGAGTGTGTCCCTTCTTCCATCCGGCTGGCTTGTGACTTGCATCGACTAATAGAATGTGGCAGAAATGGTGCTATTCCAGACCCAGTTGTTAAGAGAACTAGATGCTTTCGATTTTATGCTCTTAGGACTCAAAGACCACCATGCTGGGAGGAAGCCCAGGCTAGCATATTAGCACATGGAGAGGCCATGCGGGGAGAATCCAGACACGCTGGCCAAATCTCCCAGCCAGCTGGCCCTAACAGAATGCAACCTCATGGAGGACTTTGGGAAAGGCCAGCTGAAGCACCCAGTCAACCCTCAATAGCATGAGAAATAATATTTGGGGGAGACCAGCAGTTAGCATAATGGCTATGTCGCTGGACTCCCATGTAGTTGATCGCGGTTCGAGTCCCAGACCCAGTGGCTTAAACGCA